GCCGCAGGGGATCTCCCGCCTGGAAGAGTTCTCCTCCGGAGAGCGCTGCTCACGGACTCCGGGAGGTGCGGTGGGGATGCTCTATTTCAGGGGGAGACTCCTGCCCGGGCCCCACACACCCGCCCCGGGGGCCCACTCGGATCCCAGGGGTGAAAACTCCGGTTGAATCACCAATTGCCAGTCCTTTCCACCCGACACAAACACGTAGCGCGATGGAGGCCCCACGATGGGTGTGAGCAAGGGATTGGTGCTCCCAGGGGCATCTGGCTGCCTCACTCCCGTGGGTTTGAGAGTAGCTGCTGGGACAGATGCGGGCCAGCTTCCTTTCCAGGGGGAGAGGGGGAACCTCTCACCCACACTCTCCCTGATGCCCTGCCTCACACGATCTGGTTTAGGGTGCACACACAAGGAGCACATCAGGGCTGACCCAGTGTGGGAAGGTTGACCTCTGAGAACGCAGGGGCAGGTGCGGGGCAAAGTCACTTCACCAGTCTCCAGTGGGATTGCCAGAACTCGGGGACCTAAGCAGGGAGGGATGGACCACACCCACTGCGCTCCATTTGTCCCAGTCATGCTCGGAAGCCCCTAGTCACATCCACAAAATAAACACAATAAGGCCACTCCAGTTCCCAAGCCCTGGAGAGGAGGAATTGAGAACAGGTCACACGGGTGTTGGATGCCAAGGTCTTTGCCTCGGTTGATTTGTTTGGAGAAAATGTTGTTTGTGACAAGCTGTGTAGCCCTGGCTAGTCTTTAATTCACTGTATTGACCAGGTTTGCCTCCAACTCGCACTCACAGAGATCTGCCGCTCAAACGCTGGGATTACAGGTGTGCACCATCATGCCCGGCTCATGTAGGCCTTTGTGTTTTTAAGATTCATTTATTCTGTGTGTATGAGTGTCTGCATGCATGTATGTTTGTGGACTACCTGTAGGCCTGATGCTCAAAGGGGGGGGGGTTGTTCAGAGCCACAGGAACTGGGGTTACAGGCAACAGATGGTTGTGGCACCATGTGTATTCTGGGAACCGAACCAAGACCGGCCAGTGCTTAAAATATTTTTAAAATTATTTTATTTTATGTCTTTTGGTGTTTTGACTGAATGTGTGTATACTCACACCAACGAGGGCTGGAGTCACAGATGCTCGTGAGCTGCCATGTGGGTGCTGGGAATTGAACCTTGGTCCTCTGCAAGAGCAGCCAGTGCTCTTAACTGTTGAGGCATTCATTCAGCCTCCTAATTTGGTTTTTTGGAGACAGTTTCATGTTGCCCAAGCTATCCTAGAACCCACTATGTAGTCCATGCTTGCCTTAAACGCCCAAGCCTCTTGTCTCTACCTCTCGAGTACAGGGACTCCTCGACACACAGCCAGGGCCAGGTTTAGGGCCCTTCTTAAGGCCTCATGGGTGGCTGGCTGCTTGTGCTGCTCTGTTCCAGGAGAACTGGTCCTTGGAGGTGGTACCCCCTGCAACCAAAGCAGAAAGGTGGGTAAACCTGCCAGCCATAGACTCCCATGGGCACAACACATGGGTGCAGCTTCCCAATGCTATCGCATGGGAGAGTCAACACTGCCACTGATGCACCTTGCACCCCGGGGCCAGGCTGATTTGCATCTCTCTGCCTCTACCCCGTTGCCTGCCATGCATGCTTGACTATCTACAGAATCCCAATCAAACATTTGGGGGAGATAAGTGCTCCGTATAAATAATTAAGACCACTGCACATTTGCCAACAACAACAAAAATTAACCCCCATTCCGGGAACAGCTGCCCATGTGGGGCCCTAGGCAGGCTCTTCAGACCCATCCCCTGTGGACTCCACAGGGAGGAGCCCTCCATATCGCTACCCAAAGCCCAGGGGCCAGCCCAGAGTAAGCAGAGACAGGGTGGCAGTAGGGACTGATGCCAGGGGTGGGGTCAGGGCACTGACATACCATGAGGTAGCTTGGGCACCCTGAAGCCTAGCCCCTAGTCAGGGCTCCCCAAGCCTGGTGCCTGGAAAGCTCTAGAAAGTTCTTGGTTCCCAAGTAAACACTTACACAGGACATGAGTAAATTGAACACATGACCTCCAGATTCCAGGGACTGTGTGACGTGAACTGTGTGGCCTAGGCAGGAAGCTGAGTAAACTTTGAGAGGGATCAGCTGCCCTCCGTGCCCCCTCCTCTGCAGGAGGTCCACACTGGACTGTAAAAGGAAGGCTTGCTTCTGTGATGTTCCTGGTTAGGAACTTGCCATGTCCCAGCACAGGCAAGCTGATCTCGGTGAGTTCAAGGTCAGCCAGTGCTGCACAGTGAGATCCTGTCTCAAAAAAAAAAAACCAAAAATCAAAACTCTGGAGGGGCCCCTGACTGTAGGAGCTAATCTCACTTTTCCCAGGGCAGGCATAGCTCCTTGTCTTTGATGAAGTGTCCCCTGGTGCCCACTCCCCTTGCTCATGCCCGTCCTCTAATTTCTCCAGAGCCATCACCTATCTTCTGAAAGAAGCCCCTCTCAGCCTTCCTTTCTCAGTCCTCATGTAGTTCCCGAGGATCCACTGATAATGCCCCACCTCATGACAAAGACACAGAAATGAGAACCCGTGACAGATCCAAGTGAGGGACATGGGACAAACAGTGCCAAAGACCGACTCTGCCTGGAGATAAGCCAGGTACAAGAGAGATAAGAATGGGGCTGTGACTCTTGGTGGAGGTGGGGCTACCATGGGAGACTTAAAAATGGAAGAGGCATTAAAAAAGAGGGAGAGGCAGGCTTAAAAATGGTGGTGACTCATCCAGGTACAGAAGGTAATGAGTGCCTCCTGCCTCACAGCACTGTTCCCTGCTGGCTCCACACACAGCTGGCCCCTACTGTGGTACACGGGAGCCCACACACAGCTGACCCCCCACTGTGGTACAAGGGAGCCCACACACAGCTGGCCCCCCCCTGGGGGCCCCGGAGCCCACACACAGCTGGCCCCCCCCTGGGGGCCCCGGAGCCCACACACAGCTGGCCCCCCCCTGGGGGCCCCGGAGCCCACACACAGCTGGCCCCCCACTGTGGTGCACGGGAGCCCACACACAGCTGGCCCCTACTGTGGTACACGGGAGCCCACACACAGCTGACCCCCCACTGTGGTACAAGGGAGCCCACACACAGCTGGCCCCCCACTGTGGTGCACGGAGCCCACACACAGCTGGCCCCCCACTGTGGTACAAGGGAGCCCACACACAGCTGGCCCCCCACTGTGGTACAAGGGAGCCCACACACAGCTGGCCCCCCACTGTGGTACAAGGGAGCCCACACACAGCTGGCCCCCCACTGTGGTACAAGGGAGCCCACACACAGCTGGCCCCCCACTGTGGTACAAGGGAGCCCACACACAGCTGGCCCCCCACTGTGGTACAAGGGAGCCCACACACAGCTGGCCCCCCACTGTGGTACAAGGGAGCCCACACACAGCTGGCCCCCCACTGTGGTACAAGGGAGCCCACACACAGCTGGCCCCCCACTGTGGTACAAGGGAGCCCACACACAGCTGGCCCCCCACTGTGGTACAAGGGAGCCCACACACAGCTGGCCCCCCACTGTGGTACAAGGGAGCCCACACACAGCTGGCCCCCCACTGTGGTGCACGGGAGCCCACACACAGCTGGCCTCCACTGTGGTGCACGGGAGCCCACACACTGGACGTACAGACTCCATCCAGTCCTGCAGCACTTACAGGCTGGTAACTTTACCTCCTGAGCCTGTTTCTTCACCAGTGAAGCCACTGTCCTGCAATGAAGAACTCCTGGAGGTCCTCTTTGACAGGAGACAAGGCATTCTAACCCGGCACCCAGCAAAGGCTAGCAAACCCATAGATGGGCTGAGAACCCTGGAGTTTTCTCCCAGGGTCTTCCTCTCCCAAATGACAGCTCACCTCGTTCACATCATGGCTGCGCATGCACTGAAGTTGCTGGCACCGCATAGACCTTCACCACCCACGAGAGGAGGAATGCTTGGCAATGTGGTCTGCAGTCGCCCCTGCCTGGTCCAGATTGCCTGTGGAATTCTGCTGCTCCCAGAAGCAGGTCTGCCCGAGGTCCTAAGGCCCCACCCATGGCAGGTGTAGCTTCTGCATGCTGTTCTGTGCTGAGTAGACCGGTCTTATGGTATGGTCATAGGGTCCCACACCTCAGGGTCAGGGCCACTCAGGCTTGTCTCCGCCCCCAGAGAAGCCATTCCCCACTAGAGAGAAGCTTGAGCCTATTGTCACTTGCTCCCCCTACTATGACAATCAAGCCAGCTTGGGACTTTGCATTGCAGACAGCCCTCCAGATAGCCCAAAGAGGGACCTTCCTCCAGCCTGGGCTCAGCAAGTGGGTGCCAGGACGAGAGAGGGGTTAGACCTGGGAAACATGACTTTCAAACCGTACACTGCTAGGACTGTGCACCTACCCGCCGATAAAACCCAACATGTACATGGCAGTTTACAGATTGTGAGGCTCTGTGGGACATGTGTACAATTACTGCATATAAAATATTCACCAAAAAGCCGGGTGTGGCAGCTCATGCCTGTAATCTTAACACTTGGGAGTCTGAGGCCAGACTGCTGTGAGTTCTAGGTCAACTTGGTCTCCATAATATAGTCTCCACAGTACATACCAGGCCAACTAGTGCAAGACTCTATCTCAAAGAAACAAGCAAAACAAAAGCCGTGTACCTCGGCCTTGCACAGCTCAAGGGATTGAGCTAAGTGGGGTAGCCAGGGGATGAAGAAACGATAAACACAGACAGACACACAGACGCAGAAAAGTTGGGATCCAGTGGACTGGGCTCTGGTGGAGAAGGCATAGCACCCAGAAGCTTGGCTTTTAACTGTAGACAATCGAACAGGGAGGCGGGGTTATTGTCTACACATGAACAGGGAGGCGGGGTTATCACAAACAGCTGAACGGGGAGGCGGGGGTATCACACACAGCTGACCAGGGAGGCGGGGGTATCACACACAGCTGACCGGGGAGGCGGGGTTATCGCATACAGCTGAACCGGGAGGCGGGGTTATCACACACAGCTGACCAGGGAGGCGGGGGTATCACACACAGCTGACCGGGGAGGCGGGGTTATCGCATACAGCTGAACCGGGAGGCGGGGTTATCACACACAGCTGACCAGGGAGGCGGGGGTATCACACACAGCTGACCGGGGAGGCGGGGTTATCGCATACAGCTGAACCGGGAGGCGGGGTTATCACACACAGCTGACCAGGGAGGCGGGGGTATCACACACAGCTGACCGGGGAGGCGGGGTTATCGCATACAGCTGAACCGGGAGGCGGGGTTATCACACACAGCTGACCAGGGAGGCGGGGGTATCACACACAGCTGACCGGGGAGGCGGGGTTATCGCATACAGCTGAACCGGGAGGCGGGGTTATCACACACAGCTGACCAGGGAGGCGGGGGTATCACACACAGCTGACCGGGGAGGCGGGGTTATCGCATACAGCTGAACCGGGAGGCGGGGTTATCACACACAGCTGACCAGGGAGGCGGGGGTATCACACACAGCTGACCGGGGAGGCGGGGTTATCGCATACAGCTGAACCGGGAGGCGGGGTTATCACACACAGCTGACCAGGGAGGCGGGGGTATCACACACAGCTGACCGGGGAGGCGGGGTTATCGCATACAGCTGAACCGGGAGGCGGGGTTATCACACACAGCTGACCAGGGAGGCGGGGGTATCACACACAGCTGACCGGGGAGGCGGGGTTATCGCATACAGCTGAACCGGGAGGCGGGGTTATCACACACAGCTGAACGGGGAGGCGGGGTTATCACACACAGCTGAACAGGGAGGCGGGGTTATCTCATACAGCTGACCAGGGAGGCGGGGTTATCGCATACAGCTGAACAGGGAGGCGGGGGTATCACATACAGCTGACCAGGGAGGCGGGGGTATCGCATACAGCTGAACGGGGAGGCGGGGGTATCGCACACAGCCGAACGGGGAGGCGGGGGTATCACATACAGCTGACCAGGGAGGCGGGGGTATCGCATACAGCTGAACGGGGAGGCGGGGGTATCGCACACAGCCGAACGGGGAGGCGGGGGTATCACATACAGCTGACCAGGGAGGCGGGGGTATCGCATACAGCTGAACGGGGAGGCGGGGGTATCGCACACAGCCGAACGGGGAGGCGGGGGTATCACATACAGCTGACCAGGGAGGCGGGGGTATCGCATACAGCTGAACGGGGAGGCGGGGGTATCGCACACAGCCGAACGGGGAGGCGGGGGTATCACATACAGCTGACCAGGGAGGCGGGGGTATCGCATACAGCTGAACGGGGAGGCGGGGGTATCGCACACAGCCGAACGGGGAGGCGGGGGTATCACATACAGCTGACCAGGGAGGCGGGGGTATCGCATACAGCTGAACGGGGAGGCGGGGGTATCGCACACAGCCGAACGGGGAGGCGGGGGTATCACATACAGCTGACCAGGGAGGCGGGGGTATCGCATACAGCTGAACGGGGAGGCGGGGGTATCGCACACAGCCGAACGGGGAGGCGGGGGTATCACATACAGCTGACCAGGGAGGCGGGGGTATCGCATACAGCTGAACGGGGAGGCGGGGGTATCGCACACAGCCGAACGGGGAGGCGGGGGTATCACATACAGCTGAACGGGGAGGCGGGGTTATCACATACAGCTGACCAGGGAGGCGGGGTTATCGCATACAGCTGACCAGGGAGGCGGGGTTAACTAATTTCTGTAGGGAGTGGTCTTCAGGCTGTAAACGTGGCGGCTGAGAGAGTTATGGTGGGTATTTTCTGCACACACTGTCAACATTCACACTCGGTCCCTAGGTAGGCTTTACTGTCCCTCGTGCTGGGGGAGGTTTTGCCATTCCCATGGGACTGAGGCATTGGTCCTTGACACAGCTGTCCCCGTGTGCCCAACAAGCACATTCACACGCTCCTACAGCCACGAGTGGCGGTGTGCCTCCAGCATATGAGGTGAAGACAGAAGGGTAAGAGACTGCTAGTTACACAGTTCGAGGCTGGTCTGGGGTATATAACACCCTGTCTCTACCCTCCCAATACAAAATAACACTATGAATAAAAAGGCATTAGGATTAGCATTAAGGAGAGTGTGACTGGGCTGGAATGACGGCTCATCGGTTGAGAATATGGCTTAAATGTGAAGTGCAGAATCCTGTCCAGCCCCTGGTCATTCTGCAATCCCACCTGGAGAACAATGCTGAGGAAATGCCCTGGGGACTCCAACTGTGCAGAGTCTTGATGCCTTCTGCTTGGGCCCATCTGCCAGCTCAAACTCCAATCTCCTTCTTCCCAGAGATCCCCAGACTCTGCCACTGCGACAAATGTCACTGCTGATGGATCCAGGGACCAAGAGGGAGGCTTAAGGTGGCCACTGTCCATCTTCTGCCAGACTGCCAGAGGAAGAGAGGTGACAGCTGTCTGTGGAAGGGGATGAACAGTATCAAAATAGGGTCTTTGGGGACAGATAACAAAGGGTTGGCTCCTTCTAATACCAAAGAGTAAAGGCCAGCATATGGCAGTTCAAGCTCTGGCAAGTGAATCCTGGCTCGGGGTAAATGATTGCTGGAGAGCCTACAGATAAGATCACATAGTGGGGGCTGCAGAGATGGCTCAGAAGTTAAGAGTACTGCCTGCTCTTCCAGAGGTCCTGAGTTTGATTCCCAGCAACCACATGGAGGCTCACAACCATCTGTAACGAGATCTGGAGTCCTCCTCTGGTGTGCAGGTATACATGCAGGCAGAACACTGTATACATAATAAATAAATCTAAAATAAAATCACATAGTAGGTAGTCAGTATGCGATATTGAGTGCCTAGTAGGTATTTGACACACAATAGGTGTTTGTGCACAGTCGGTGTGGGGCAAAGTAGGTGTTCAGTACACAGTAGGTATTGGGCACACAGTAGGTGTTCAGCACTTGGGAGGCACTATACATGCCCTTCACTCAGAGTAGCTATGATGAACCATCCTAGATATAAAGTGGCAGATGTGAACACCACCCCTAAGCTCTGGAACATCCCAGCAGGAGCCACAGTCACAGTGGGGTGTGTGGTTTTCCTGATGGTCTCGGGGCTGAGGAGCTGTGGTCCAGCCACTGACCAGAAACTGGGACAGTCTCCTGTCACGTGTTGACAGTCTCCTGTCACGTGTTGACAGTCTCCTGTCACGTGTTGACAGTCTCCTGTCACGTGTTGACAGTCTCCTGTCACGTGTTGACAGTCTCCTGTCACGTGTTGACAGTCTCCTGTCACGTGTTGACAGTCTCCTGTCACGTGTTGACAGTCTCCTGTCACGTGTTGAAAGTCTCCTGTCACGTGTTGAAAGTCTCATATCACGTGTTGAAAGTCTCATGTCACATGTTGAAAGTCTAGGAAAAGCTCAGGACAGGAACCATTTCTACTGACTGCTTTTGCTTCACACCCAGTAAAGTCCAGACAGCCTTAAGTTGGGGATATCTGTGAGAACACTGTCCCTGAGCAGAGCAGGATCTGACTGTCCAAAGACTCGGGTCCCAGGTGGGGGGCAGGCAGATGTTTTGCCCACACTCCCTGTGATCTGAGATGCCAAAGTGTACTCGGAAGCCTGGGGAGCCTACCTACCAGGGCTGACAAGTGGGCCGGTCCTGAGATTGTGCATCTCCAGCCGACCTAAAGCCTTGAACACATTCACACACATCTGTCCAAGCCCATCTCCCAAGCCTTCCCACACTTACCCACTGGGCTCTGGCCTCAGGCTGCAGAAGCAGGGATTTCAGGGAACACGGGGGAAGGTCTCAAGACAGGCATGCCTTGTGGGGTCCTCCCACAGGGGCAGAGTGAGGGACACTGCCACTGTGGGCTGGATCCTGAGCCCCAGGGCCAGAGTCCTCTCCTGCACATAGCAGGAGTGGCTAATGAGCCAAGCCCGTCCTGCAGCTGGCCACCCTTCCCCAGCATCTGACCCCTTTGTCTTCCTGCCTACTGATGCAAAAGGTCAAACCTGGGGCTCCAGAGGGGAGAGAGATCTCAGCAGCCTGGGTGCTGACCCCACACCTCAGTCCAGGCTCAGCAGCAGGAAGCTTGAGAGGCGTGGTACCAGTAAGTGAGATGTGAGAGATTAGAGGTCTTGCTGCCTGGTCAGAAGCCGCCTGAAGATAGAGGACAAGTTCCTGGAAGAAGAAGGAAGTTGCACAGTAAATAATGTCAAACGGAGCACTGCCCAGGCCCCAGTTGATAGGAGCCAGGCGGCCCTGTGGGCAGGGAGCTGGGAGCAGGAGCCAGGCTACACTGTGGGCAGGGAGCTGGGAGCAGGAGCCAGGCTACACTGTGGGCAGGGAGCTGGGAGCAGGAGCCAGGCTACACTGTGGGCAGGGAGCTGGGAGCAGGAGCCAGGCTACACTGTGGGCAGGGAGCTAGGTAGCTGGCATGGAGGGAGGGGCAGGACCTAGAAGGGAGGCTCAGACCTGGAAAGGAACAGGTGGCAGGAAATCCGCAGAAGTACAGCCTGCTGCCAACTGGGGCTTGAGGCACTTGGGAAGGGGTCGTCCTCACACTCTCTAAATACGGCTGGCAGGGATCAGGAAGACTGGCTTCTCTAAAACCCTGCAGGAAAGCCTGAGGCCTCTGCCCTCAATGCCCATGCCTACCACACATCCAGCCGCTCAGAGCGACCCTTAAGTGGGAACTGGGCTGTCTCAAGTACCCCATACTCCTCCCTGCCCCACCCCAATCTGAGATTCCTGGAGGCTGAATGCCTTCCAACCACACACAGGGGCAATCGCCCCCTAGGACTCCCCAGGGTGTCCTCTACTCTTCTAACCCTTTGTCTCTGTTGGGATCCCAGGCTCCAAAGCTGCCCCACCCCACCCTCGCAGTCCCAGAGCATGGGACCTCAAAATATGGGTACATCAGCTAAACACTGCAGTTCCAAGACATCCAATCTCAGCCCTTGTGACATCTGGGGAGTGGATGGCACTGGAGGCAGTGAGATTTACTTCAGCCTGGTCAGAGGGGAGCTGGCTCTTAGCAGAAAGCAAAGGCAGACCGGATCATGAGCTGGTCATGACTGTAACATGTGACCATTCCCCTGACTGGAAGAGTAACACATGACCACCTCTCCAGTTGGGACAAGGGAGCATACACAGGATGTGAGGGTGTGTGGTCTCCTCAATGGCCTGACAAAAATGCTCAAAAGTGACTGGTCTCTGTCCTGCCCATACCTGTCATGGGACGCTCCCTTCCCTCCTGCTCCTTATGAGTCCACATCTGATCTTCTCCCACCGTCTGTGGTCATTCCTCTTCTTGGATGTGTAACAGTGAACCCAGAAGCTACAGGCTTGGAGCAGTTTTGGCAACTGTGGATTGTCCAGCACCCTAGCTTACCAAGAGCCAAAACAGTCTTCAGCCCCTTTTAGAATCGAATTGTCATTGTTGGCTCTATATATGGGGCTCACAGTCTGCCCAGGTCACCTCTGAGTCCCCTGCCCTGGTTTTGGTGTCCCTGGCCTCCGTGGTCCACTCATCATTTCTGGCCATTCTCTAGACCCATGTGAACTGTTCTTTCTTTGAGTCCAGTCCCCTTTGGTTCCCATCTTGTGTCCTGTAGCCTGTCATACTAGCCAGAGCAGGGCATGATGGCCATCTTGAGGCCCATAGGGCAAAGAGGGGGCCAGACATCTCTCCTCCACACTGCCACCCCTCTGAGGGGGCAAACATAGCAGATGGTGAACACACACATGCACGCACGCACACTGAAGATGTGCACACAGCACCATTTCCCCTTGCAGAAGATGAGAGGTGAGAAAACCTGTGACCTTGCAGTGCCGAGGAGAACGTCACAAAGGCTAATCACAAGTCAGCCGTGGTGGCAAACAAAACAACTTTAATTTAGCACCAGGGAGGCAGAGGCAGGCAGATCTCTAAGAGTTTAAGGACAGCCAGAACTACACAGTGAGTTTCAGGATAGCCAGGGCTATGTAAGGAGAACTTATCTCAATAAATAAATTAACATTAAAAAGAAAAGCAAACAAATAAATGCCATACAAGGTAAGAGCAAACCATGGGGGGGGGAACGGGGGGGGGGAAATGGGACCCGGTGTACACTTTTCCTAGCGGGAGTAGGTTACACCCATTTAGAAGCTAACCACTGACTGACTGGTCCTCAGGAAGACAAACCTGTTGCTTAAAGGAAGTTCAAATAGCCCAAACACAAAGCAAGGTCCTGCATGTCCCAAGGACACACACACACACACACACACACACACACACACACCCCACATGCCTGCCTGCCCAGAGGGCTGGAGTAAGTCTGATGACGCAAGTGTCATCCAGATAAACCAGCAGCAGGGAAGTCGAGGAGCACACCACTTCCATCCCTTGGGGAGATGGCTTGAGAGGTAGCCTGTTATGACTCACTGGTTCCAGCCCAGGCCTGTGCGCCACAGAAGCAGAGGAACTGGAGCCTGGAGCAAGGATGTCCCCAGCATCACGATCTCACAAAGCTGACCTGACCCAGCTGAGGGTCTCTGGAATGGAACTGTGTCCTAGGGCCTTCGAGATGATAGTTCAGCAGGTAAAAGCATTTGCTACCAAGCCTGGTGACTTGAGTTCAAGCCCCAGGACCCATGGGGTAGAAGGGCGAGAATTGACACCCTAAGGCTTAGGTCTGGAGTGGAAAGGTACACGGCCACCACCAAACAGGAAGGACACCCAAAAAGGTGGATGGCTCTCAGGAAGACGGTGCCTAAACACAAGAATTCCACATACACGGTTCAAAATCCAGCCATGGTCTGCTCCCCTGAGAGATGCACACATACTGGCAAACCAGAATGGAAGCAGGTGAATGAGCAGGCAGAGGGATACGGTGGATGGGAAGGAAGTTTCTGGAACCCTGGCCATGGTCCACTTCTTTTTTCTTTTATGATAGAGTTTCTCACTCTGTGACCCATGCTGACCTCAGACTCATGGCAATCCTGCTACCTCAGCTAGGACTGCAGGCCTGAGCCTCCACCAAAGCTAGGTTCAAGGTCCCCTCCTTGATGGGAGTGGCCACGACGTGGGAGTTCATTTACTGTTCACATTTGTTTGTGACACGGCAAAAATATGCTTCGTGTGCTTTTCTGTCAGAGTTCGATTTCATCACTGAGAGAAAACAAAACAAAAAACAAAACAAACAAACAAACAAAAAAAAAAAAAAACCAGGAAAACTCTGCTGAGTCCTGGGATCCGGCCATGCCCAGCTCTCACAGCCAGTGCTGAGGTGAGCTGGTGCAGAGGGGAAAGGCATTCTTGTCCTCCTAGGAACTGAAGCCCGCTGCAGCCTGTCTGCACAGCGAGCCTGCCTGCCTGCTGTACCCCTCTTCTCACTCCCCACCCTCAGAGCACAGCACTGATCTGTCTCAAGGCAAAACCTTCCAACCACATAGGGCATGTGCAAGGACTTGGAGGAACTGCTTTCCCGTTCTCAACTCTCCATCAAAACATGGGCCAAGTACTTGTCCCCTGCTCAGCCCAGCCAGCACCACCCAACTCGGCTAGCACCTGCCCTTGCCCCTCCCCCATGCTGGAAATGGTGATGTCCCGGTCTCCGAGGGTGGTGGGTCTGGGTGGGACCAGTGCCCTATGGAGGGGTGGGCTGAATGGATGGGAAAGACATTTCCCCTGTTTACTGGGGCCCAGCTGCTATCTACAGCTCCAATCTGCTGCCTCTCTTTATCTCTGAGGGACCGCCTGGGTTCCCAGCAGCCTCCCCGCCGCTCACTTCCTGCCAGTGGCCCAGCATTACAGGAATACACACACACACACACACACACACACACACACACACACACCACACTGAACTAACTCAGCATGTGAGTGTGTTCGTGCACACTTGTGCCCACACCCCAGAGCCTGCACCACCCTGGCCAGGTGTCAGGAAGTCATAGGTACCCCCAGAGGCAGCTCTCCCCCAGAAATCCTGACATGAGCCTCTTAGAATCCTCCCTCAAGTGGCCCGAGATGGTGAGGGTGGGGATGATCTTCATGTTCTCCAGACTGTCCTCAAAGGCAGGACAGCACCTGTTCTCCATGTGTACGGCAGTTACCAAGATCAAGGGGCACTGAACCAAGTGTCCCTCCCCTGTCAGCCACTCAGCTGCCACCAGGATGACTTGACCTCAGGGACACACATATGTGCAGGCTGCCCCATGAGTCGCTCTCTCATCTGCCACTCAGCTGTCATTCACCAAGTCCCAGAACTGGGCACTGGGCTAAGCACACAGGGCTGGCCTTTTGTGCTCAGTGTATCAGCTACACAGAGCGAGTGACAGAAACGTGTGCCTGTGGCTGTGGACAGGGGGAAGACAGAAAGATACCCAGAAAAGATGGCCGAGAGATGGCTGCGCTGGGAAAATGCCAGTCTTGTAAGCATGAGGGCCGGAGTGCCTTCCCTGCACCCATGTGAAAAGCTGTGATGGTGGCCAGCATTTGAAATCCCCGCTCTGGGGATGCAGAGACACACATATTCCTAGCTGGCCAGGCAGCCTACCCTAATCAGTGAGTCCCAGGTCCCAGTGAGAGACTGCCTCAAGAATAAGGGGGCAGCACCAGAGGACAGACACCACGTGAGGCTGACCTCTGGCCTGCATGTGCGTGTGTACACAGATGCATGGCTGTGTCTGCACACAGAAGGGACCACTACGGCAGGCACTCGGGTCATCCTGCCCTGCCCAGAGTACTGGCTGTGAGGAGAGAGACAACTGGCAAGGTGAGGTCACCCCGTGACCTCTGCAGTGGGGACTCTTTAATGCTAACACTGCAAACAGGTTACAATTAGAGGAAAAGGGACAGGGGTGGGGGTGGGGGGACCTGGAGACCTGGAAAAAGGCAGAAAACAAAAGGAACTGGCTCAGGAGATTCCTCACCCTACCCAGGCTCATCCCCAACTGTCACCAGTCTATAAACGATCCAGTTAAAGAATTAAAAGGCAGGAAAGGTCTGGAACACAACCCGGAGCATCAGAGCCGCCTCCAGCAGGGCAGACAGGATCAGCAGGCAAAGTAAGGCATTTACTGGGGGTGAGGGGATGTGCACGGCCAGTTGGCACACAGAGAAAAAGACGCTCTGCCCAGCAGAGCGGCCAAACTCCCAGTGTCTTCTGAGGCCTGTGGGCTGGAAAACCTTTGAAATTTTGCATCCCTAATTACAGGCTGGTCAGTTTGGAGAAAGCTAGGACAGTTGACTAGCTCAGAACTGTTGTGTGACATGTCCAAATCCAGCCTTGTCCATCACCAGGGTGCCAAATGATGGGAGACAAAACCTGCCAGGCTTTTGTCTCAAGTCAGAAGGTTGAGGAAGAAGATGGCCATCTTGGAAGTTTGCCAACTTGTATATCCGTCTGTCTATCAGGAAGCCTGTCTATCTCCTGGCCTCTTACAAGGATAACTCAAAGCTCAGGCATAGCCAGGTAAGAATGCAAACATGTGTACACACAGAGATGCACACAGATCCACACATAAACATGCACATATATTATGCAAATGCATTCAGATACACACACACACACACACACACACACACACACACAAT